GGGGGGGGTGGGTAGGCAGGAGGGAAAAGACTGCTCCGTTTTTGTTTTGGGTTTTGGTGACGGGATGTCTTCTTTTCAAAACTCATTAAACTGGATACTTAAGATGCAGGTAGCTTACTGATCACACTGATTGTTTTTGTTTTTTTTTTTTGTGGAAAAGAAAGGGAGTGGAAAGGCTTACAGGCTGAGAAATAGGAATTAGGCTGAAATGGTAGATCTGGGCTCTGCTGTGCAGGGCCGAGGGGCTTAGGGTGAGAAACTGGCTGTGTGGGATGGAGGGGCATCGCCGGCTTCTAGGAAAGGGGGCGGGGCCAGCCTTTAGGGTCACCGCTGGGTGCTGGGACCGGCCACCTTCGCACGTCTCCCCGGTCCCCCACCCACTCCCTTGCTAGCTCGCTCTCAGAGGGTTAACCAGTCCACCTCCAGGCGTCTACACACAGGACCTCCCCAGGGAATCGGGTGGTCCCGGCGGTGCTGCAGTGAGGTCCAGGTGGGCTGGTCAGATAGGAGACACCATTGTCAGAGGAGCTGGGTCACTGTCCACGGAGGGTGTGGACGGGGGAGTCCGAGATGTCGAGAGGAGAAAAGAGTGACGGTGGGTGTGGCTGTGGGCAGCCCCCTGCGAGGCTTATGGAAGCACCCTCCCTGGAACGTTCTAGGCCCTCATTTCCCGCCAGCCGGCCTTCCTCCTCAACACCTCTCCTAGTCAGGACCTGGTGTCCCCGGTGAGGTCCGGCACTGCAGCAGGGGTCAGCAGGAAGGGTGGCGCTGGGTCGAGCCTGAGCCCTGCCTGTTCCCCGTCCCCCCCCCCCGCCCCCCATCCTCGCCGCCCCACAGGGCAGACAGGACCCCGTTCTCTGCAGCGCCCCGCCTGCCAGAGAGGGCACAGCCCCTCCTCTCCTCCCAGCCCCACCTTCTGCACAAAGTCACCCACAGCCTCTGCTCAGAACAAAAATAAAAAGGGAAGTACTGCGCCCACCCCAGCCCCCACCTCTGCTCCTGCTAAAAATAGAGGCAGCCTCTGAGTGGGGTGTTGTGCGGGCTTCCGGGGGGGGGGTGGCTGGCCAGGCTCCCTGCAGCATCAGCACTTTCTGGGGGCCCGGCAGCCAGCGCGCTGGAGGAGAGGGAATCTGAGAGGACGGCGGAGAGACCCCCAGCCGGGGCTGGGGCCGAGCTAGTTTGCAAACACGTGAGTATACTTTCCGACTGGCCGGCGCTCTGACTGACACACGGGTGCCGAGCTGGGGAGTCCGCAGCCTGGGTCAGGGAGGATCTTCTGCGGAGTTCGGAGTGGCCTGCGCCCCCCGCCCGCTCGCCTGGCAGTCGTGCCTTCGGCCGCGCCATGTGCTCACGGCTTCACGGTGCTCCTTTCTCGTCTTAATTTCCCAAACGACACGGGAGACCCTGGACAGCGGGGCTGGGGCAGCTATTTTATGCAGCTGCTTTGACTGCGCAGAGCGTGGAATTGGGCCCAGAGAAGCCCTTCAATAAATGCCTGATGATCGACTTGGACCAGAACGCGCTCATTTTTACGTGCTGGGTTTTTTAACTTTCTTCCGAGGGAGGACGGTGCAGAGGGCCGAGGCGTGGGGGCGGGGCGTTCCTGCGGAAGGAGAGAGAGGCCCACGGCCCCAGCTGGGCGCAGAGGAGGCGTGTGAGCATCTGTCCCCGAAAGCCAGGGCGCTCGCCTTCCCCCGGAGCTCACAGCCGCACCGCTGTGTGCTCTCTGGGGGTCCTGCCCTCCCCGGGGAGCGCCTTTCAATCAGCTCCTCTGAGGTTTATTAAGATTCCGTTTGCAAAGAAATGAGCCTGTTGCTAAACCGTCCTCCGACAGCTAACCGCAGGCCCAGCCCCTGACGCCAGCAAAACGCAATGAGAGACAGACTGCGGGCCGAACCAGGTGGGAGACCTCTGACCCAGAGCCCCGGGAGGAGCATTGCCGTGTGGGGCTCCTGAGCAGGCAGAAGGCCCATGCCCCCGGGAGGAGGCTCCTCCTCCCCTGTAGCATCTCTCAGAGGCGTCTGAGAAGGTTCCTCATTTCCTAATGAAATGCTTCAGGAATCCACTGAGTCCTGGGGGTTGAAGGAACTTTTGCAAACTTACAGCCCCTGCAGGGTCTTTTGCTTATAGCCTGGAGTCTACTTTGGGGTGGGGGGCGGTGTTCAAACTGACATCACTGGTCTGAAGAAGTCGGCTTGGTCATGGAGGTGTCCTTTACAATGAGAAATGGATAAATTCATAGCCTCTCGTTCACACAGCAGACAACACGCCTTGATGCAGAAGGTTGCAGCCCCAGCCACCCACGAGCCTGGCTGCCTGTGTGGACTCGTTCAGTGATCGTGAAAGCAGTGGGGTCCCCCCACTCCACTGCTAACCGACCTCGTCCCTAATGACGTTAAGTCCAAAACCATCCACAGGGTCTGGGTGCGGTTCTAATGTGTGCCTTACTTAATTATTGGTGACTGTATCAATTGGCACATGCAAAAAAAGTCTTTCTGGTTTGCATCTGACTTACAAGCTTTTGCTTACGTGGCAAGAAGCTATCCAGATTCCCGGATTCCCATCAGTTATGTTTGGTGGGGACTCGGGCGTGTGACTCCGTCACAGCTGTGCAGGAGGCGTAAAACAGCAGGAGAGCACGGCTGGTGCCCGCCGGCGCCCGGTGGCAGGGAAAGCAAAAGGCAGCGCCCACCAGCGGGCTCGGGCAGAGGCACTGGGGCACGGCCGCCTGTTCAGAGGCGTGTGGTGCAGCGCTCCTGCGGAGGGGAGTCCGCACGTGCGAAGGTGCTCCGCGCATCGCCTTCCCTGCCCTCCTGAGCTCGCCCAGACACGTGGAAAATGTGAGTCTCAGTGTTTACACGTTTCGACGTGGCGCGTGGCTTTAAAGCAGGTGGGCCGGATGGCGGGAAGTGACTCAGGTTCCTGTGCGGTGTTCATGGGCTCGGGACCATCAGAGAAGGGACATAATTGACCAGAGCAGCCCCCCCCCCAACGCCTCCCGCGCCCAGGTTCCTGCCACCCGCTCTCCTCCCTGTACTGTGTCTTGCTTCATTTCTCCGTCCCTTTCTCGGCCACGCACCTGTCGGTATCAAACAAAACGCTGAGTTCCTGTTCCCTTTTCTCCATCACCATCCTCTCTTCAAAGCTTCACCCCACCTTCCTCAGCTGCCTCTGCCTCTCTCTGGCCGTTTCCTGGACACAGGGACCTCTCCTGATTCCCAAGTCTCCCGGAGCCTGAGGCTGGGCGAGCCAGCGGCACGAGACCGCAGGACCCCTCCGCTCCCCTCCCCACGGCGCCCCTCCCTGGCCGCAGTCTCCTTATTTCTTCCCCAGAGTTCACAGTGCCTTCCAGCCTGGCTGCTGAAGCCTGGGGAGGGGGGGGTTAGTCTTGGTGGGTGGCCTGGCACAATCCCCCGTGCCCAAGAAGTTGGAGCTGTTTTTGTTGATTTGATTTGATTTGATTTGATTGAGGTGAAATCTGCATAACAAAACTCACCCGTTTAAAGTGAGCAATTCCCTGGTATTTAACACGTTCACAGTGTCACGCGACCACCACCTCTATCTAGTCCCAAAACGTGCTCGTCACCCCCAAATGAAGCCCCGTACCCGGCAGTGGTCACCCTCACCGTCCCCCACCCCAGCTCCCGGCCACCGCCGGCCAGCTTTCTGCCCGTTTGGAATTGCCTGCTCTGCACACTTCACCTCAGTGGAATCACACAATGCGTGGCCTTTGGCGTCTGGTCTCTTTCACTCAGTTCATGCGTTGTGTTTCGTCCGGGTGGTAGCGTGGATCGTACTTCGTTCCTTTTTCACGACCGAACAGTATTCCATTGTTTTAAGGGTCCCTGGCACTGAGGGTTCACAGGGGAGCTGGGCAGAGGGAGGTGGGAGACACGGGAACTTGGCCAGTGGCCCTCACGCACCCCTGGGGCAGCTCCATCTTGTGCAGGTAACACTGAGCGCCCCAGACTGCAGCGCCGGGCAGCCTTCTCCAGCTGCCGATAGGTAGTGCATTCTGACCACTAATTACAGGCAGGACTGGGTTATCCAAAGTAAGGGGAGCCAGAATAACGCAGAGCTAACCAAAACGTGGGCTGCGGGGGGTGGTAGGGCGGGAGGGGCCCGTTCCACCAGAGAGCTGTTTACTTCGGGGTTAATTTTGAGTCGAGAGACCCTTCTGAGTCTCTCTTCCTCCTCCTCCCTCCCCGAACGTGAAGCCTGACGCTTAACTGAATGCACAAGCCTGTTCTCCAACGTAGCAGATGCTGAACAAACGCATTTCAGCTCACCTGCTCCCCCGCCATCTCTTTGGCAGAGCATCTCAGGAGAGGAATGCTGGTGGAATTTCACTCCGCTCGCATGGAAGCGCTCACTGTTGTAAGTGCAGGGGCAGTAAGAGTGCTGGGTGGAGGCATCGCGCTGTATGCATCTGAAAATGTCTCCAGTGAATGGCGATGTTGCCACGAGACGCAGAAGAGCGGGGGTGGGACAAGCCGGTGCCGGGAACCTCCACAGGCCGGGCCATCGGTCCCGGAAGGACCGGGAGGTTGCTGTTGGTGCTGTTCCCCACTTGGCTGTGCGTGAATCCTCTCCCAGAACGAGCACATGTGCCGCCCATTGAGCCTGTCTTCCTCTCCTGGCCAGTTAAAAACGAAAACTCGCTGCTGGACCCTGCAGTGTCCCACCCACCGCGTCTTAATGGTTCCTTTTCTGCCAGGAAGAGGGCCGTGGTCTAGAGCAGCCCTGGATCAGGCGACAGCCCACAGCACGGAACTTGTGGAGGGCAGGTTTTCCGGCCCTTTGCACTCCAGCAGTCTCCTCTGAGACCCCGCCTGCCTCCACCCTCGCCGTCTGCTGTGGGTTTGGGGACTGAGTCGTTCGGGGCCCCTCCTCTGATCTGGAGCGAGTGCCCGCTAGGCGTCGGACACCACAGCGCCCCAGGCGTGGTCTGGCCTCAAGCCTTCCGAGGGGCAGCTGGTGCAGAGGTGTCTTAAACCTCCGCTACCTCCCACGGTGATGGAGTGACGCGTTAGACAGACTCCCAAAGATGCTGGCTGGTGGTGGGTTATCCATTCTCAAAGGATTAGGATTCCACAAATGAAACTGAACTCCAGCACGCCAGCGGTTAGGCTGGGCTCTCCTTGAAGATGCAGCAGGTCCTTCAGACTCCGAGAGTGCCCCAGGGAAGGAGCACGTTGCAAAAATCCAGTTGCACACAGATGCGATGTTTGGCAGCCCCAGCAAGGGAAGGCTTCTCCCCAGCAGCACGGAGGGCCTGCTGGCTTTTCCACGTTTCACCCAGTAGAGGTGATTTGTGACAAGATGGCTCTGTCCCTGCAGATCCGAAGCTGGAGTGAAGGGTATTCTAAACTTCCAGTCCATGACTGATCGAGGGTACCGGATGGATGGGTGCTCAGATCTGAATTGCAGGCGCAGCAAAACATGCTGGGTACGAATGAAGGGCATGTGATCCTGTCAGCGGCTGTCACGGTGAAGTCCCTCCCCACACACGGAGATGAAGGTCTTAGCCACTAAAGAGAGGAAACTGTAACAAGGAAAAGAGAGCCAGTACTTACCATTGGAAATCAATCACTTTATAAATATTAAACGCCCGTTTGTGAAGGACGCTTACTAGGCCACCGGGCAGACAAGGAAAAAGGAGATAGTCCTGCCTAGGGGATAGTGAGCAACGTGGTGGACAGATGCTAACAGCACCAGCGGGGTGAGCTGCAAATCAGAAGCCCAGAAAAAAAGGATTGAGCATAGATCTTTAAAGCTGTTCTCGAAAATCTGTTTGGTGTGGAGGTAACTATGCAGGATGCCGAGGCAGAGGCTTCTCCCCCATTGCGAGTTTGCCACCGGCTTCCAAAGGGGTCGACTAAGTGCTAGTGGTTAAGCGCCTGCCATGTGCGCCACAGCTGGGTGCTGCGTGTCCAATTCTACAGGACAGTAAATGGGGGCTCAGAGAGGTTGAGCAGCATGCCCAAGGCCACACAGCCAAAGATGGCAGAGCCCAGGACTCCCCCACTTCAAGACCACCCTTTCCACCGGAACACAGAGAAGCAGAAGCTGCTGGTTTTGTCTCTTTATGGAAAGATTTTTTGATTTGACTCTTTTGTTTGACAAGAGCAGAATTCCTGCAATCCCCCCCACACACCACCACCACAGCCCCTGTCTTTTTTGGGGAAA